TTGACCGTCAGCCGCAGCCACTGGCAGTCGACGCCCACTCCAACGCATTAAGCTTCCTGGACCGTGCATCAACTACACGCGGGAGCGTGAATCACGCTATCCTGTGACATGCGCCACGTGAAATTTGTGTGCGGTGCTGGCCGACGGGGGGAGATGGCGCAGGGCCACGGCTGCTGCGCGCCACGGCCAGTCATTGTATGGCGCACCGACAGTGTTGTTCATTTTTGTTTTCATTGGTTCTTGTCTATTAATTTTCTGCCAGTGTTGGCTTGACTGTCTTGTATGTTCTGGATAATGTGTGTGAAGTTTTCATCGCCCTACGTTCTTACTTTGCTTAACTTAACTGCGCTGTGCTGTTTGTTGTAATTCTTTCTCGTTTCTTTTGTCACTCTGTGATCCACCACCACCAGCGGCCGCTGCGTGTATATCGCTGCGTGGAATTGGCGGGTGTGCGGTGCTGGCCGAAGTGGGGAGATGGCGCGGGGCCACGGCTGCTGCGCGTCACGGCCAGTCATTGTATGGCGCACCGACAGTGTTGTTCATTTTTGTTTTCATTGGTTCTTGTCTATTAATTTTCTGCCAGTGTTGGCTTGACTGTCTTGTATGTTCTGGATAATGTGTGTGAAGTTTTCATCGCCCTACGTTCTTACTTTGCTTAACTTAACTGCGCTGTGCTGTTTGTTGTAATTCTTTCTCGTTTCTCTTGTCACTCTGTGATCCGCCACCACAGCAGCTGCTGCGTGTATATCGCTGCGTGGAATTGGCGGGTGTGCGGTGCTGGCCGATGGGGGGAGATGGCGCAGGGCCACGGCCAGTCATTGTATGGCGCACCGATAGCGTCATTTATTTTTGTTTTTATTGGTTCTTGTATATTAATTCCTTTCTGCCAGTGTTGGCTTGACTGTCTTGTAATTTCCAGCGATTTTGTGGGGGCTACGCGTTTGTGGCTTGGCTGCGGCAGAAGTGAGCGCTTGGGTGTTGGAGCCCGCTGCGTGCATTTTTTGTTTTTTTTGGGTGTGATGCATCAGGTGGTGTGTGCTGTCCCGAAGTCCTGCCTCTCTCCTCCTGCCTGTTTGTTTTCCGTCCGCTGTGGCACTGCGGTGCACGGGCGAAGTAGTCGTCTGGATTCTTTTGTGATGCGTCGCATCTCACGCTTTGCTGCGCCGTTGGTCATGGAGGACGAAGTTGTGCCACGACGCGTGGGGATGATGCCAGCCGCACAGAGCGCAAGGAGGACGTTGTGACGCCGTGGGGTGTTGCCGCCACGGGCCCGAGGGGTGTGGACGATGGCCGCGTCCTCGCACTATTCGGGTCGGAGCCCGTTGATGAGCCCCTTCTGCAGCGGCTGGAGGAGACACGCAACGGACGGGAGGAGCACGCGCAGGCAACCGGCACCGCACAAGGGGAGGCGGGACAGATGGCATTGCACCATTTTTTTCCGCCGCGGCATTGTCTTCTCCCACAGGGATTTTGGAACCGCCCTTGACTGCGTGCGTGCGTCCCTTGCGACGGGGACACACCGCGCGTACTTGTACACTGGCCGTGGACCGAGCGCGCAGTCGATGCACATTGGCCATTGCATACCGTTTTTATTGACGCGGTACCTGCAGGATGCGCTCGGTCTTCCGTTGGTGATTCAGATGCCCGATGATGAGAAGCACTTCTTCCGCGACATTCCCGTCAGCGGGGAGAGGGCGAGCGGGTTGGTGGTGGAGAACATAAAAGACATCATTGCCTTTGGCTTCGATCCACGCAGGACATTTATATTCCGCAACACGGTGTACATGGGGGACATGTACCCAACTGTCGTGCAGGTGCAGCGCATGTTGACGCTGAGCGCTGTGAAGAATACATTTGGCCTGAAGGATAGCGACAATGTTGGAAAGGCAACCTTTCCAGCGGTGCAGGCCGCGCCGTGTTTTAGCAGTGCCTTCCCCTGTGTGCTACGACGGCTAGCTGGGGACCCGCCGCTGAAGTGCATCATTCCCTGTGCAATTGATCAGGACGCTTTTTTCCTCCTGGCACGCAACGTCGCGCCGCGTATGAAGTGCTGCGCCCCGCACTGCTGCACACAAAGTTCCTCCCCGCACTGAAGGGAGCGCAGTTCAAGATGAGCAGCAGCGCCGAGGGGAACGGAGTCATCACACTACACGACACGGAGCAGGAGGTGCGAAAGAAAGTGCGCAAGGCCTTCTCTGGTGGGGGGTGGCACGTGGGAGGACATGCGTGCGGAGGGTGTCAAACTGCACGCAGACGTGGCGTACCAACTCATTCGGTTCTTCTGCCCCGACGACAATCTCCTCGCGGAGGTGACGTCGAAGTACAGCAGGGGTGAGATGAGCAGCGCCGAGGTAAAGGACCTCGCCGCGGATGTCGTTGTGCGGCACGTCTTGTCGGGGTGGCGGGCGCGGCGGGCTGGCGTCACAGATGCCGACGTGGAACAGTTCTCCGGCATCCGCAGCATTCTTCTGTGAATGCCGGCAGGAGGGAGGAAGGGATGATGGGGGAGAGAGGGCGCACATGCAACGGGAGTGGTGTGGCTGAGTGTGGTGTCCGTGAAGATGATGCATGTGGGTGGGGACGTGCTGGTTGTTGTGGTGCCCACCGCGTATATTTGTTTGCTGTGGCTTCTGCTGGACTGCACGTGAACGCCTGGTGTTCCCCTTGCAGTTGTACAACAAGTATTTTACACCAACAGTAGATAGGGGACTATTAGGCTGCAATGGGGCGGGGGCCGCACCACGATGGCACGCGCCACGGGAAGGAGGGCCGCGGGATTTTCCGAGGAAGAAGGGGTGCGACACGACCCTACGAAAACGTTGATGGGTGCGGCATTTGCTGCGGGGATTGTTCAGAAGATGTAGCGGACGCTTCT